CACAGCACTGGTCTGGAGACAGAAGATCTGGGTTCAGTCTACCTTTCCCATTATCTGTGTGACCTTGGGCAAGTCACTTCCCATCTTAAAGCCTCAGTCTCCTCATCAGTCAAGTAAGGGGGCTGGGCTAGAAGGACACTTCCAAAGCTAAATCTATGACTGTATTTGAAATACATACTGCCTACCAATTATATCTTTTTGGTTTTATTGAAATAAGAGAAAAAAATAATACCTAGCATTTATATAGCACTTTTAAGTTTGCAAAGCACTTTATATGTATTGTCTTCATTTTACAGATGAAGAAACTGAAGTGTACCCAGGGTCTCATAGCTAGTAAGTGTCTAAGGGAGGATTTTAATGCAGATCCTCCTAACTCCAGTGCTTTATCCATTATGACATCTAATTGCCTCTAGGCTTTAAACTACTTAAAAAAATCCACAGGTATATAATACATACACATATACCCACACACTTATATATGTCAACCTCACAGCGGAAATACTGGCTCTAGTCTAGAATCAGAGGACCTAGGTTCAAATTCTGCCCCAGATACTTACTCTGGTGTCATATTGTTTTTTTTTTTTGTCTAGGCAATGGGGTTAAGTGACTTGCCCAAGGTCACGCAGCTAGTAAGTGTTATGTGTCTGAGGCTGGATTTGAACTCAGGTCCTCCTGAATCCAGGGCCAGTGCTCTATTTACTGTGCCACCTAGCTGCCCCTCTGGTGTCATACTGAATAGAGCTCTGGGCCTGAGGTTAGGAAGACCTGAGTTGAAATGTAGCCTTAGGCACTAGCTCTGAGCAAGTTATTCAACCTGCTTGCCTCACTTACCTCAAATATAAAGTAACAACCTGTACCTCTCAGGACTGCTGTGAAGATCAATTGAAATAATATTTGTAAAAGCACTTAAAGGCACAGTACTTAGCACACAGTAGGTGCTATATAAATACTCATTCCCTTCCTTTCCCTTGGGCAAACTGTTCAGTTTACCTGGGTCTCAGGTCTATGTCCTATGATCCTTGTCAATAACTGGTTTCCTCAAACCAAACGGAAAACAGACCTCCATTATATTCAGCTACTGTCCAGCAGCCACAGAACCATTCTGTTGTTCCAGTCCTGTCCAACTCTTTGTGGCCCCATCTGGAGTTTTCTTGGCAAAGATACTGGAGTGATTTGCCATTTCCTTCTCCAGCTCATTTTACAGATGAGGAAACTGAGGCAGACAGGGTTAAGTGACTTGCCCAGGATCACACAGCTAGTGAGTGTTTGAGACTGGATTTGAACTCAAGGCTTCATGACTCCAAGGCCTAGAGCCATATCCACTCTGCTATCTAGTTGCCCTCTGGAGCCATGAAAAGCCCTATGGGAATCTCTACATGGTGCTTCCACATCCCCAGCACCTACTTTCTTCCCACTATAAGCACAGTATGTGAAAATAAAGAAAGGGTGATAGGAGTTTAGGTGAGAGAGGGTATGATCACATAATTTTATAAGCCAGGCAGTTCCTGCCTACTCCAGAATTTATAAAGTTGACGGGATTTCCTTGGCCCAAATGTACACTCAAAGATTAAGGCAAAATTCCCTGTGCTTAAAGTCATCTCCTTTTAACTTTTAGCCCATTTCCCACCTGCCTTCACCCACTGCCATCATGCCACACTCCCTAAAGGCCCCCATGCTACCCACATGGAACCAGACAAACAAGGTTATGGGACATAATAATATTGTCAGGTTCAAAATCATTTAAGATGATCTTCAAGCTTTTGTAACAGCCCTGGCTTCAATTGTACCCTCTTCTGTTGCTGTTCTTCCCATATGTCATCTGCCCTCATCAATGAATAGAATATACTCGAACCAACTTCAAACTGGCAGAGCCCTCATGCAGAAGGGTTCTGCCATCCAATCCCGGATAGAAAGACTTACAAGTGCCAGTCTGGGGCAAAGTTAGTATGCTCCCTTGTACTCCTGGGCTCGTACCCCAACACTGCCTAGCTCTGCACTGTGATGGCCAGATATAAGCCTGGTAATAAACGTTTTTGCCTGTAAGGAAAGAAGCAAAAAAACCAATGGGCTTTTCTCCTGTGTGCCCTAAGGGGGTAGCTGGTTAGAATTCAGGGGTGGGGAACCTGTGGCCTCAAGGCCACATATGGCCCTCTAGGTCCTCAAGTGCAGCCCTTTGACTGAATCCAAACTTCACAGAACAAATCCCCTTAATAAAAGGATTTGTTCTGTAAAACTTGGACTCAGTCAAAAGGCCACACTCAAGGACCTAGAAGGCCACATGTGGCAGGTTCCCCACCTCCTGGATCATTGCAGAAGGGACACAAACCTATCCCTGAATCTTGGTGCTAAACCTCACAGGTCATCTATTCCATCCCCGACACCAGGCAATGTCTGATTGAAGTCATTCCCAACATATCCTATTTTTTCTTCTAGTTCATATCTCTCTCTCTCTCTCCCCCCCCCCATATATACACACACACACACACACATATACATACATACATACTTATATTATATTATATTATGTTATATGTGGGAATCTCTACATGGTGCTTCCACATCCCCAGCACCCACTTTCTTCCCACTATAAGTACAGTATGTGAAAATAAGGAAAGGGTGATAGGAGTTTAGGTGAGAGAGGGTATGATCATATAATTTTATAAGCCAGGTAGTTCCCAGACATATATATATGTGTGTATATATATATATGTGTGTGTGTGTGTGTGTGTGTATGTATGTATATATATGTATGTATGTATATATGTATATATATATGTTTGGTTTGATATTTGATGTCAGTTTTATATCAAGAAATGATATCTTAAAGTCCAAATCCACTGGGCTGAAGTGAATCCATTTCTTTTTGTTGATCAAGAATTTTTCCTTGAACTGAATATTATTACTAAAATTAATCTCTACTTCCTTCAGTTCAAGCTCAGAACAAAATCCTTTGGATAAACCTTTCCTTGACTTTTGAGATGTCCTTTTCTTATGGATCCCCAAACTAGACAAGATTACCCACCATACCCATCTCTAATGAAGCTGTACATCCACCTCCTAAATACTGAGAAACTGATTATTCTCTCTGTACATTGTCCAATTCTCTATCAAGGGTTTGTAATCCTTGGGAATTCAAGGATAAATTTTAGGGGGTCTGTCAACTTGGGTGGGAAAAAAAATCGCATATGTACTTCAATATAATTGGTTTCTTTTGTGATCTTCCATACTTTCTTTTATGCATGAGAAAGGGTCTATAGAGTTCACCAGATTGCCAAAAGAGTTCATGACACAGAAAAGGTTAAGAACCCTGCTCCAGGTTCTCATACTTTCTGATTTTTAATTGGATGATGATGATGATGACAATGATAAATTGGATATGAAACATAATCAGTTTTTTAATTGTTAGTAACTCAGATAAAAGGTTCAAAGAGGAAGTTAAAATTAAGAATTAAAATTACATTTCAGAATAAAGTGTAGATTTTAATTATCCAAGTTCAATATCATCCCTCATTAGCATGGATAATCAAAAGTTGGTGGGTTATAGGTAGCAGGGGTGCAATTGAGGGAGATCATATTCATAAATGTCTATGGTATAAAAACTAAAGGCCATCATAGGACTTTTTAAAAATAAAAATTTTGCAAAACTTGTCTATACATATTTGACTTAAATGTCTAATTCTCAGCCATAAAACACTGCGGTGACCTTTCTGGTTAAGGTTAAAAATCAATACCAATCACCATCCTCCCCTGCCCCCACCCGTCCCTCCTCCCTATCCTAGCACACCAGTCTGGGCTCTTTATTTCCTCTTCCTATATTTGCATGCCAGCCTGATAAGATTCTCTGCTTAGTTTGTAAGGTTCATCATGGTATCATCTCTCTCATGCCCCCAAACCTGCTGCCATCTGCTATAAAGTAATTGCATCCAGCCAAGAAACAATAGCATCCCAAGTCACATTTGGGTGATATCAGTGTGGCTGTCGAGATAAGGAGGTGGAGGGAGCAGAGGGGGAACAGGTAGCTTGGAACAGTGAAGAGCAAAGCTAGCAAAAACAAACAAACAAACAAACATCTCGGGCAAAAAGCACATCTGCTTCCCAAGAGATGGGGGATGGGGGTGGCATTACCCAAGCCCATCAACCAGACCTCCCCCAAATCTTTGCTACAAGACACATACCCAGTGAAATACAATTAAGGGTGGATGGTGGCATACCCATTAAGTCCCAATGCCATTTCCAATGCTTTAAATTGATGTGGTTAGTCAGAGGAAGCACCATATTGGAGAGGTAGGATGAATCAGCCGAGCACTGATTATACAGGCTTTTTTCTCTCTGACCTGTCTCTCCACTCCTACACCGCCATACAAAAATCCAAGGATAAGGTTGATGGAGCCAAAAAGGAATGTCAAAGCTCATTCCTCTTTATGTCTCCTTATTCATTTTATACCCTCTTTCCTTTCTCTTGATCTTGCTATAGAGCCTTGAATGGCGCATAAAGCAATAAGATCATGGCTTCCTGCAGAAGACATGACCAAGTATACCATGGTTTGGAGTTATAAGGGACCTTAGCAACTAATTGGTCCAACATGCAGCCAAAAATACTTTCACCAATTGCTTCCTCAAGCTTTTCTCCAGAGTCAGGTAAAACAAATTATTACTCTTTCCAAGAGGCTGCCCTTCAAATCCTTGAAAATAGCTATCATGCTCTGTGCCTCCCTCACCCACATCCTCTATTCTCTGGGCTAAACATCCCCAAATCCTCATCTTGTATGTACTCAAGGCTCTTCCCAACACTAGATTCCCTTCTCTAGTTTATCCAAATCTCACTTTCAATTCCAACATTCTCCAAATGAAAGTCATTTTACTTTATTCCATACCGGATAAAGAATGTTCAAGAAACTGTACTAGAGGCTTGGGATAACAAGATAGAAATAAAAGTATCCATTTCTCCAAATAAAAGGATCCCATCAACACCCCAGTAGAGCTACCACCATATTTCCTACCTGATCTCTCAGCCTTTCTTGGTGACCCATGATAGCTGTAGCATGGTGAGGGTATTTCTGTTTCAGATGTTCCAGGAAAGCTTCTCTCTTCCTGTCCATCTCAGATGTTTGCATTCCCAGTATCTCTTTGGAACTACGGGGCCCACCTACAGTGTGTCTCCTTGGGATATTTCGGGAAGACTTGGAAACTGAGAGACGACTATTTCCATTAGCAAGGCGGTCCTTGGTTCGGAGACATCCTGCATCTTCAGATGATGTCACATGCAGATTGCCTTTCCCCTGGTCTGAAAGGTGAAAGAATACAAATCCTTTTAAAAATCTCTCTTTAACAATCTCATTTGAGGCTCTATGAGATTGGTTATCACAACATTGTTAAGAAAGTGTGTATAGGGAAAACCCCAGAAACTTAACTCTATGAAATTATAGTGACCAAGAAGTTTGGTCTGGCTGAAGGGTGAAAATACGTGCTTCTTTCTCTTCTTTGCAGAGGTGAGAGACTGTGGTCACGGAATACTATATACCTTGTCAGACTTGTTTGATTTCACTGAACAGCTTTTGTCCTCTTTCTTTAAAAAAAAATCTATTCCCAGGGACAGCTAGGTGGCGAAGTAGATAGAGCTCTAGTCTTGGAGTCAGGAGGACCTGAGTTCAAATATGACCTCAGACACTTGACAATTATTAGCTGTGTGACCCTGGACAAGTCACTTAACCCCAATTGCCTCACCAAAAAAATAAAAAATCTATTCCCAAAATACAGCTTGCTGGGAGGTGGAAGAAATATTTGGATATTAAAGTGATGTGAAAACAAATCAATAAAAAAAAAGCAAGAAATGTGAGCTAAGATTTTATTTCTTTTGACAATGGTAAAGGAAAAAGAAAACAAAATCCAAGTAAAATATTCGAAAGTTACATATTAGAAACATCTAAGTCCACTTGAAGGCCCTATTATTTCTGATTTTTTTTTTCCCTTGGGGTTGTTCAAAACCAGAATACCTTCTTTGGTCATAATAACTATGTTACTACTCAGCCTCTGACTTCTCCACAAAAGAGAGCCTATATCACCCCAAAGATCCCTCTGATGATTTCACCTGGATTTTTGATTGAACATTTCATGCTGACAACAGAATTGCTTGTGAGGTCTTCATAATCAGGTGCTGAATCCTAAAATATTTGATTCATGGTCAGGGTCAAGAAGTAATGACTGCCCCGACTACCAAGCAGGAGTCTCACTGGACCATGGTCTACTTGAAAAATTCTATTTTCTCCTTATTTGCATAAACAAAGCAAAAATGAGAACCCCGTTAGAGATAATGATTACAGATGTAGAAAACAAACAGGTGGGCAAAATTCAATTGAACTAAATGCTACGAGAAAATTACTGTGAAGAAGGAAATGACATGATGGATGCATCAGAATGAATTTGGAGATCAGAGGCAGTCATCATGGTACAGAGGAAAGAATGTTGTCTCTGAAGTCAGAGGACCTGGGTTCAAATCCCACTTCTATCATTTATTGCTACATGTGTGACCTTGGGCAATTGACTTAACCTCTATGGGTCTCAGTTTCCTCATCTGAAAAACAGGTGTTCTTGGATTAGATTGGGGTGGGAAACCTGTGACCTCAAGGCCACATGTGGTCCTCTAGGTCCTCAAGTGCGGCCCTTTGACCGAATCCAAATTTCACAGAACAAATCCCCTTAATAAAAGATTTATTTTGTAAAACTTGGACTCAGTCAAAAGGCAGCACCCAAGGACCTAAAAGGCCACAGGTTCCCCACCCCTGGGTTAGATGCTCATTGAGGTCCATTCTAACTCTGAATCCATGAACTACATCTGACCTACCCTGCAAGGAACATAAGAATTTTGTTTTTGTTCAATTGCGTCCAACTCTTCATGCCCCTGTGGAGCATATCACACCAATACTCTCCATGGGTTTTCTCGGCAAAGATACTGGAGTGGTTTGCCATTTCCTTCTCCAGCTCATTTTACAGATGAGGAAACTGAGGCAAACTGAGTTAAGTGACTTGCTCAGAGTCACACAGGTAGTAAGTGTCTGAGGCCAGATTTGAACTCAGAAAGATGAGTCTTCCTGACTCCAGCCTCCCACCTCCACCCCCTTGTAGTCTCTATCCACTGGTGTCACCCAGCTGGCCCTATGTTTGCACATCTTGGGTTCTTAATATTAAGCATCTTCTGAATACAGGTTATTGTTCTGGCATTACAGGGGTGAAAGCAGTGAATACAAAGTTAAGGGAGACAAGAGCCAAAGGCAACGAGCTTTATTTTTGCACCAGATTTGTGATGTCATTGGCATTGGAAACTTCCAGTGAGCAAATTACCTCTCCCCACTCATTTGCTCTTCAGTTTGGAGAACTGACTTCTTAGTAAGTTTCCTGGCAGCACTAAGAGGTATGCACAGGCCCAGACCCCCAGCACACACAAGAGTTTGTAAAACCTTCTGACTCCGAGGAAGCTCTCTCCCCCCCACAGATTGTTTTTATGCACAAAATACTAAGTGCATTATTAGGTCACTACAAAATAACGTAATAATACGAGGCTGAGCAGGAATTTTTTTTTCTGCTCATGGGGATCAGGAAAAGCTTCCTGAAAGGGGTGACACTGGAATGAATGGAATATTCTAATTAACTGTGAAAAAATGGTTTACCAACATTCAGATAATTAAAATACAACCAAACTCTAGTAGGCATAATATAATCTTTCTCTGATAATCAAGAAAATGCTTTCCAGACTCTTGCAGGGTAGAACTCTATGTGAGTGAATATCACTTTTCCTCTGCTATATTAGAGCAATGTTTATTGGACCACATGAAATACAAATAATAGCTTACATCTTTGTAGCGCTTTAAAGTCTGCCAAAGCGCTTTAGATGAATTGTTTCATTTGATCCTCAAAACAATAACTACTTGACAGATGAAGAAATGGAAGTTGAAAGAGGAAGAAAGGAATGGAAGGAAAAAAGCATTTATTAAGTGCTTACTGTGTGCCAGGCACTGGGCTAAGTGCTTCAAAAATATTATCTCATCTGATCCCCACAACAACCTTAGGAGGTAGAGGGCTACCGTTTTTTCCACGTTAAGGTTGAAGAGACCAAGACAAAGAGGTTAAGTGACTTGCCCAGGGTCATACAGCTAGTGAGTATCTCAGGGTAGATTTGAACTCAGGCCTTCCTGATTCTTTATTGCCCCGATAACATTGGAAATTGCTTTTTTTAAAAAATACATCATGAAAAATAAGATAAATCATTGATATGAATGTGTTTCCTTGACATTTCTCTCTCTCATGAGAGTGGAGAATGGGAAAAGGCTTCTTTCTGGAGACTTCTGCTTATTTGGATCCCGATAAAGAGGGAACCTCACGCTGACATCTGTGCTCAGGACCACGGAAGACATGAGAAAAACAGGCCATCAAATCTATTACTGTCTCCTTAGCTCTGCCTAGAAATGTCAGTCTGGGAGGAAAGACCTGATGACAGGTACTCCTCAGTTAGCCAGAAAAACATTTGAATTTCAAAATGGGCCCTCTTTCCAATTCACAGATGTAGGCTTCAGAGATGGGGAACCCATGGCCTTGAGGTCACATGTGGCAGGTTCCCCACCCCAGCTTCTAGGCACACCCCCAGTTGATCCTTTCACTTCCTATTACTTTACTAATTATAATGCTTCCAGCCCAGAACAATCTAAGGAAGCGGATGGAACCAATGAGTGAATTCTGTAAACTTTTGGTAGCTGTAGTAGACATCTTTGAAGGGAATGGTGAAGCCTTGGAAAGATTGGCTTAAATGAGGCTTATAGGTCAATAATAGATTTTTGTTTATTTAGGACATTCCGTTCCATGAGCAAGCAATCAAGGCGTGGTTCCCCTTTCCCTGCAGGTAGCAAACCTGTGTTCTCTTGCCTAACTGACCAGGGTAGCAGTAGATGGGGAATAAACTAAGGAAGGCTGTATAAATGAGTGATATTGTCACGGGACTGGGTTCAAATCTAGCTCCTCGGGAAAGTAACCCAGTCTCTCTGGGCCTCGGTTTCCTCATCTGTATAATGAGGGTGTGGGATTAGGACCAGATGGCCTCTACATTGTCTTCCAGGGTTCAATCTGTATTCTCCAAAGATCTACCGGTGTCTATTCTGGCAAATTACTCAACCTCTTAATAATTCATCTTCCTTAAGTATAAAATGAGGGGGGTTGGGCTAAATGGCCTGGCAGGTCCTTTCTTTGATATGTTTCTTTCCTATCAGAATGTAAGCTCTTTGAAGGCAGGGACTTTTTTTTTTTTTTTTTTGCTTTTTCTTTGTAGCCCCTGGGATTAGGGCAGTACCTGGTACAGAGTCTGCAAATGATGAATGCCTGTTGATGGACTGCCACTGTTGATTGACAGTGTTGATTACACTGATGCAGCATGGCATCGTGGATGGAGTGCCCACTTTGGAGTCATGAAGACAAGGACTGAAATCCTGTTTCTGCTGCTCAGTAGCTGTGCGACCCTGGGCAAGTCATTGAATCTCTATGCGCCCTTCAGTGCTTTGACAATTATAATACTAATACCCACAACAACAGCTGCCTTCGATATGTTAACTTTTACAAAGCGCTTTTACAGCTATTATCACTTGGTACCCACAACAGCCCTGGGAAGTGTTGTTGTTGTTCAGCCATTTCAGTTGCATCTGACTCTTCATGACCCCATTTGGGGTTTTCTTGGCAAAGACACTAGAGTGGTTTGCCATTTCCTTCTCCAGCTCATTTTACAGATGAGGAAACTGAGGCCAAGAAGGTTAAGGGACTAGCCCAGGGTCAAACCGCTAGTAAGTTTCTGAAGCCACATTTAAACTCAGGAAGATGAGTCTTCCTGACTCCAGGCCCAGCATTCAAGCTGCCCCATCCCCTCCTTTACTGATGAGGAAATTGAAGCTGAGAAAAGTTAAGTGCCTTGCCTAGGGTTACACAGCTAGCAAATATCTGAGGCAGGATTTGAACGAAGGTCTCGGGAACTCCTAAGTCCAACACTGTTCACTGCTCCAACCAGCCGCCAAACACCAATTATGTGCAAAAAACAGTGCCAAGGTGCACTGTTAGAGATGCAAAAATGAAACTGTTCTGGCTCTCGGAACATATTCTAGTGGGGGAGTAAATACAACATATGCAGCTATGGAAATATAAGTATATACAAAGCACATACAAAGAAGTGACTTCCTAGGAAATACCCACTAAGTCAGAGAGGGTTGAGATCTGTTGGTTAAATGCATTCCCGTGCCAGAAGTTCCCTCTCTG